GTTTACAGGGATACCCAACCAAATCAACACGAACAAGAAAGTAAAAAAATAAAAATAAAAAGAAAAAACCTAAAGTACTGTGATTAACCTTTAGTATTAACAAAGAGTTTCCAAGGATATTCAACTAAAGCAAAAGAAACAAGAAAAAGGAACAAAAATCATTTAAGTATTTTGATTAACCTTACTAACAACAATCGCTGCATCAGTATCCGAATACAATTTTACAAATAGTTGATAAAAATACAAATCTCTCTGCAGGAAAATTCTCATCTTCTGGCAATTCTTTGCCCAGCTCCAACTAACAAAGCTTTTCCAATCGCACCAGAATGAAGTCCGCAAACAAGAGCAACTCCACCTATAACTATCCATTTCCAATCAACGCCGTGATCTTTCTTTCTTTTTCTGTCAAAAATTTGACCTTTTCCTTCTTCTCCATAAATGGGCTCTAATGAATCTGTGTTACCTTCAGAAGAAATTTTTGTGGTGATTCTTGCCATAGCAGCGCTTCTGGACAATGATGATGACTCTGATTTCTTTGCATTCTGGTATGCTCTCAGTCCAGAGTTTAACTTCTTGACAGCTCCCCACATCCCATGCCGTACCCCCAACTTTGCCACATCTTTTGGGATTCCCATGTCTTCATAATGGACAAGAGTAACCTCACAAGCAGATTGTACTCCATCTCCTTTCCGAGACTCAACTGCATTCATTCTTTCAAATTAATAATGGAGATGCACAAGTCAATAGAAGCTAGAGGTTGTCTTTGATATTGTTACAAAAATCAACTCAGCCTGCCCTCAGAACTTACCGGCCTTGATTACCCAACTTGAAAAATAAAGCTCAACGCGCCTTGGCTTGTCACGCTTGGGCAAACCTGTACGGTTGACCACCTATAATGTTGAAACAATTAAATTAATATCCATTCTTATAATCATTTAGACATATTACTGCCTCCCTGGGCCATAATACCATCAAAAAGGAGGAAAAGAGATAAGAAGACTAGCATCAATCAAGACATACAGAAAAGCAAGAACAAAGAGTAAAATCAGATGAGAAATTGCGAGCCCACCACAAGATTACTACTAGATAGAAGATATATAAACTGAAGTAGACAGGAAAATGTTCTTAACCCACCAGGTTCTGCCTCTAAACTCCACAGTGACGTCTAAGGTCCAAAGCAACAACATGGAAAAATTTCAGTGATACTAAGAACCGAGTAATTTGAGATGCAACTTAACACTAAAACAGAACAGGATGTAGTTAGTTACTTGATTATCGAGGCCAGTCAGTAGGGTTAACAAGCACCAATCAGTTTCATGATTTATCTTTTGTTTATTTTGTCATATTATTATCAACACCTCTTCCACTTGGTGAAAAGTTCCTATATGCTAACTGATGGAAGGCTTCGCCATACAATTTTTCCCTCATCGTATAAGAAAACTGCTATAGCTATAGGAATTCCGTCAAACAGTTGAAAGTCCAAAAGAGAAAAACTTCTTTTCATTCTTAAAATATTCAATTTCTCTCTAAATTTGAAGTTAAATTCCATTAAAGACATCTTTGATGTACAATCAATTCAACCACTTATACAGCCTTATTTTGCTTTCTAAGCAGTAAAATGGTATTCAACCAGTACCTTTGTCACACAGTAATATGTCCTTCCCGCCTCCCATATTCTTCTTCCAATTATATATTCCCGATCACTGCAGAAAAAGGGAAACTGCAAATAGAAGAAGTAAATTAAGACATTATTCCATGCCCTTTTCTTTCAACCGAAAGTCTGCGTTACAAATTACGACATCACTGAATAAAATCTGCAAAGTTATGCATTTCAAACCTTTTTTATCCAGTGGACAACCATTGTCCCTGTACTAGGGCATTCCTCCAGAGTTTTGAAGTATGCAAGCATGGGATCCCATTTAGGTCGAAACTCATCATCCCAGAAAAAATCTCTAACCACCTCGGGAGTTGCATCTTCAAAGACAGTTCTGCTGCGATAAACAGCAGGGCCAATCTGATAAAGAAGAAACATCAGTTTCCAGGGTCTAAGAGAAAAAATAGCAAAAATTTCATACATGAAGAGTACAAAAATAATCTATGATTAGGTAGTTAATTGATTAGGTACTTGAAATTAACTACCTGACATGTGACTATCTGACATGTTGCAACAAAAATCAGTACATCCAAAATGGTTACACAGTATTAAAAAAAATCTCAGACCAGTGTAAGCCAGCATAAAGTAGCAATTCCCAATTAATGAGAGCCAGATGAAGTACAATTGAGATGGTAGTTTGCTCATTTGTCTTAGTGATACTAAATTTCAGAAGTTCTCAGTAGCACATCTTTTATAAGGACTAAGGTAAAAGGAAAGACAAGCAATAAATATCGTCTTAGCTATACTAGATTCAGAAAGCAATTCTCTCTCTCTTCTCACATTTCTTATGTTTTTTTTCTTAGCATACTACATTATAAAAACTCACCTCCATACCACATTTCTGACATAAAAAGAAACACATACAAGTCAAAGCCAGAGCCTCTCCCTCACACAAGAAAAGTCAAAGTCAAATTCCAGACTCTCTCTCTCACCCAGGTATTAGTTTGTTTCTTGTCTTACCTATAATATACTGTAAAGGCTCTTCTTAGCCCCACTTTTGTAATGTAAAGTGAAATACTTTGGATAGAAGTCAAAGGTCAAATTACCCTAGCACCTCTCTCTCTCACATATGTTTGCATGTTTATTATTATTGTTGGTTGTCTTGGCTACGCTACACTGTAAAACTTCCAATACAACATAAGTTCTCTCTCATCTGTTTGCAAAAGTAGAAGCATATGAAAAATTAAAACTAGGATTACCTCTGAACCTTTCTCTTTTATCTTTTTGGTTGTTCTGCTGATATGAAAGGAAAGACATGCAACAAAAGACAAATCCAAATTACCTCCGGCTCATGACGCCAAGCTTGGTATGCCATATTCGGGGTAGATCTTTCCATCAAGAATTGCCATTCCATCTCTCCATCTCTTCCATCAAGCAGGTGCAATAGGTGATTTAAATCGTCCTCTGTGACAATATCCTGCTCTGTCGCTGTTGTTTTATTGATAGGGCTGCAGATATGCGGAATTTATCACAAACGTATATAACAATACTAGACACAATTTGTTTGATAGGGCATATCTACATTATTACACAATCAGTAGACACTAACTCAGTTGCTGACCTTCCAAACTACCTAAATTTAATTATCAAGAGGTAATTAAAAGTGATTTCTTTTTCTGCTAGTAAGTGGAGGAAAGAGGATATATCGAATCTATTTAGGATTAACTCCAAATCTCTCCATGGGAAAGCAAGAAGTTAAAATTTTTAACATCAACTACAATTTCTTGCTGATAAATTTGCCATCTTAGGATAGATACTAGATATCCTACCAGTTCAGAATAGTTCTTAAATTTTTCACGTCAGCCCTACTGAAATTGTCTGACTATAGCAACAACAGGTGGTGCTTTGTGATTAATACAAGTTTATACTTTTTCCTACCCTGTCCTCGATATGTTCCAATAAATTTTTAAAATTTATATAACTGCCAATTTTATAAAGGAATTTTTATCATCCATTGTAACTGACTGCATTTCCTAATATCATTCTCAAACTGTAGTTACCTTTTCTGGAAATTAACATGAAGACAAAACAACAAAAAGAGGTGCCTATTACCAGTAGATATATAAATTTAATAGCAATTTGCAACAATGACATATGAAAAAATGACACGTAAATTTTGACGCTTTCGAACAAGTAACATAAGAGAAGGAAGCCTTAGACCGTACAAAACGAGAAGAAGAATAATAGAGATTAAATTAATTCACTTTTTTCAATAACCAATTCAAACCAATGTCGAGAAGAAAGTACACTAATATCAGCAGCAGAGACTCGAAAAATCCCTCCCACAAACTTCTAAACAAGTCGGAAAAGAAAACCCCCCGCACAAAATAAATCTCTAATTCTTATCGCCTATTTAAATCCTCAAAAAATTGCTAGAATATCCTAAATGACCAAAAAAAACCCTCAATTGCATAGTTGGTCTTACAATTCCATACAATGCTAGGAACCCCCTATATTAGTTCCCTTGGTTTTTTAATTTCTTCAAAGTTATTTAAAATTAATAAAGAGTTGATTAACACTATAATTAATAAAATAATTCATGCAACTCGGAAAAGTATAGGGAAAAATGAGCTGGTGGCTTCAGAACCTTATGATCACCAGTTAGCTCATTCTAACGTGATTGCATGAACAAATAAGAAATCTCTATGGATGCGATGGTACAAGGAATAGCATACAAACATTAGCAACGTCAACAGTTGGCTTACTAAACTAGAAACACACGCTAAAAGGTTTAACAATCATGGACCCTTGGTACAAATGTTGTACTAAAGCAAGTATCAATTTATATTGGTAGATTTAATAAATGTGACAAAAATTCAGTTTTCTTTCCAGTCTATTGGTACCCGACACAAAGGGAACTCAAATGGAAGGCATCCAGCATTACAAATTCCAAGAAAATCATTCCTTCGACAACATTGCATTATGAAACAAAATTACAATTGTTCTGGATACAGGAGACAGAACTTGATTCTAAAGAATCAGAGAGCTTATCAACAATGAAAGGAAATATCGGTGCATCCGAGTATCAATTTCTCTTAAACTCATGGACGCGTCCAGAATTTAGTTTTCTGGTCAGCACCTAGCCCTAATTTTAGCCATACACCTTTAACAAATTTCACGTCAAAGATCTCCGACGCTAGATATTAACCAGAGTATACGAAGAAACCACATTACCCCCAGTACTGACCAAAAATCTCTGCCATATAGATGAATCATTAACCAGTTTTAATCACAAATGAGGTTACATCCAAACACGTGAACACAAGTAATATAGCAATTAAACACTGACCTGGCCTCAGAAATTGGTCCTTCAGACGGCGTCGATGCGGTAGAGGGAGCAGATTTGGAGGCCTTGCTTCTGAAATTAGACCAAACTGTGCGACAGACGGAAAAGGCCGAGAGAGCAGTGAAGGCGAGCCAGAGGCGTCGGGCGCCAAAGCCGGGGGGCGCAGTCCAGAGGAACCGGAGCTTGCTGCGGAGGCCAAGGAATACTAAGCCAGTCCACCTGGGGCGCCAGGACCAGCCGATCACGAGGCCGATCATGACGGCAAGCCAGATTGGAACCGCGCAGAGAAGAATGTCGACGAATGTCTCGGTTATGGAGGGTTTCTTGAGGAACTCCATGAGATCGAAGAAGGTATCGTCCATGGCGTACCACGGAAATTATAGGGAGAGAAATCAGGAGCGTTCCTTGACAGTTTTCAGGTAGCTGTGAGAGAAAACGGGTTCCGTTTCTTAAAGAAAAGGAACGACATGGATCGAGAATTGATGAAAGAGATCGACGAAGGTAGTCGCTTTCCTTGTACACCAGATGAGAACCTGTAACCTTAAACAACAGGGCAAGGAAGAAGTTTAATTTTAT